TTGGAATTAAAATTAAAAAGTGATCCATTAATTTTCTGATTACCATCCATTTATCTTATTCTTGTTGTTTCTGTGAAAATTCCTCTAAGCTAAAGCTGATGTTGTCCATACCTTTCATATATGCTGTGCTCACTACACAGGTCTTCATAAACTTTTACAAAGTGACGCAGCCTGTTTGCTTGGGTTGCGGTTGTGTTTGTGTGTACATTCTGACTCACAGCTCTGCCTGCTTTGTTGTCATAGAGAGCTTTTCTTGTCAGATTCTGAATTATTTTTAACCTTGGAAATGTGAATTCTTTTTAACAATTTCACCACCGTGAAAATATTGGGTGATTTCCTTTGCTTGCTAAATTCCAGTCACATTGAGGTTAATTATAGTTCTTCTGAGTGTTGCCACATATTTCTAGTCCCAGACACAGACTCTCAGACTGTCAGCACCCCAACATTACAGGAGTGATTCTTCAGCTCTACATCAGCCACAAGTTCTCAGTTTTGCTTGTCTTGTTGGATAGATAACTATATGAACCCTCCAGCTGTCTTAACGTTTGTTGGAATTTTAACTCTAGTGAGATTCTCATGTGCCACATTCCAAATAAGGCATTTTTAGTTATTTTTTACTAATTTGCATTTACAAATTTTTCAGAGCCCAGGAAGAGGGTGATACCCATTCCTTCTTAGTACCTGAATCCTAACCAGCCTAAGCTGCAATAGCACAGGTCTCTGAATAATGTAGCAACTGATCCACTGCACTCCTGCCAGAATATATTAAAAATACGGATTTAGGTATTTAGCATTTGGAAGGCAGCTCAACATCTGTCTCTGTGCACTGTAGAAAATATCTGTGTACATCTCCTTCCGCTGAAGTATGATAAACACTGTCCAGTGGTGGAACCTAATTCTTAGGTATAATTGCTATTAGTCATGGTGAGAATCTGCACTGCCATACCAAATGCATACAGAATTAGTTACTTGGGAAGAAGTGACTATTGCACAATAGAATGGACAGCTTTCCAAGTTATTTCATCCAAATAATATATTTATTATTTGCTTAAAAGGTTACTATAAGCTTGTATAAGTGGGTGGCTCTAAATTTCCCTTCTTCCTTCTTTTTAGCTTCTTTGGTTCATATAAAGTTCAGACATTTAAACATGCCTGTATTCCTTACAACATTACATAGTTAACTGAAACATTAGATATTTAACTGAATCATGCAGTTGGTCACCTTCAAATCCTTCTAGAGTCAATAAAGAGAGACAGAGTAAATTTCAGATACTTATTAAGATATTAAAATTGATTTCTTCAACTCCCTCTTTCTCCTGGGAGACCCCTATAGCAAGTGCACTTCTTTCAGTCACCTTTGCTTAACTGATAAACTCAAAATTTTTATTTAGAATCCTTAGCGTGTCTGAGAGTTCTTTAAATAGTATGTGTATAAAGGCACTAAATGGGAAAGGTGAGGCTTAGGTATTTTTTATATGCAAACTGTGTTTATTTTACTCGGTTCAGAATTGTTAACATTTTCAATATGACAGATGTATTTTCCTTGTGTAAGCAAACACATGCATTGGAAAGGAATGGTTTCATGAGAGACGCTAATGATCTGCTCTATCAGATTCCCACACAGAATAGAGACAAAACGAAGTTCCACACAGCATCTATATCAGTCTAAAGTCATGAAAATATTTTTGGGAGACAAGTATTCCTCCTTCTGTATGGACTGTCTGCCAGGAAAGTCAATGCAGGTATTCTGCCATTAGGACTTCACATGAAGCAGGTCTTGGCTGAATAGCCAAGTTGCAGATGATTTGGCATTTTATTTGTAAAACAGCTTTAGCAAATTCTGCATAACTTTGTGGGATCAAGATGGGTACACACTTTACCTTGTCATTAATGTAACAAAAAAATCACCAAGTGTAAACTTGTCAAGACTAATAAAAATGTATGTATTTCTTACCTTCTGTGCTTGTGAACTGTAGAAATGTGAGGTAGTTTTTCATTTTAAGTCTCCCCTCCACACAGCTCTGGAATTACCCACTCAAAGAAAACACTCAGACTTTACAAATTAAATCAATTTACTCTATCTAATTGGCAAAAACTTGATTAAAAAAAAAAAGGGGGAAAAAAGAAGAAAAAAACAAGGATCAAAACACATTGTCTTTCTATGGAATCTCAAATGCTCAAAAATAGCATTTTAGAATGTTTTGGTCACCTCATTCATATAAAGCACTGATCTGAATTTCATCTGTTTGTGAGTTTCAAAGATTTCAAAAATGCATGCATGTACTTTTGGTATGTCTTTATAGGTGAGGAATGCCAGAATACGTGACACTGGCACTTCCCTGGAAAGACAGCAACCTTCATCTCAGAACAAACCTGCAAGGAGCCTGTTCAATTGCCTGAACTTTTTCCTAATCACATAATGCCTTTCACTGGGAGAGAAGATTATTAATTTGCTTTTAAAAAGAATATTTATGAACCCAAGGATTAAAATTAATGATTTGAAATGTAATATCCTTGTTGGAGAAATCCAAACATCCCTAACTGCTATATTAAGAGAAATAAGTATACACTAAGACATGTATCTCTCTACAGACGTGTTTAAAAGAAAGAATTGAGTCTTAGACAACATTCAGTATCTAAAAGCTATCATTTTCTCTCCCGTTTTTGACCTGAAATGTTACCTGTGGCCATTGTTTACTTCTATTCTAAAACCAGTGTCTGTTGGGGCACTATGTATCTGTTACCATAACAAGTGCAGGAAGTGCATTCAATACTTTATGAAGAAAGTATTTTTATATATTATGTAGGCACAAAGAAAAAAGTATTTGAGGTCATATAGTATGGTGCATGGATGGAAGCAATCCTATGTTTTACTTCATATTACACTCCTCACCCCCAGTTTTGACCTACTGTATTTACTTAATATAACCACTTCATATTTGGGAATATACCCTGAACATTTTTTTTCCATTACTTTGCATGGACCTTTTTATACTGCTTAAACTTCTCCAGCTTTCCTTGTTTTTCTGATCTCCTAGAGTCGTTAACCAATTACAGCTGGGATCAAGGCCAAAACCAGCTAAATATCACAACTGAGATTATCTTAAGTGGTACCTTAGTTAAACTGCTGAATAATCTTTTCTCTAGGGTTTAGATAAACATTGGCTGAGTTTTCTTATAACTTATGCCTTCCTAAAGGTCCTTCCTTTTTGCTTTACTGTTTATGTTCTTTTCTTTTTATAAAGCTTCCTAGAGAAGGTCAGTTGGAGTCCCACCTCAGTCACACAATTGCAAATTAGGATAGCCCCTTTCCTTCACAGACTCTCTCTGGAAAAAATGGAAGATAAGTTATATTATGGTCTCTGTACAACTTGTCCCCAAATCACTAAAAGCAACCATTTCAGCAGATCTCGGACTGATCGCTCATCTTATTTTACAGTGACTCTGGATTATTTTACATTTTGCAAGAAGAAAAGCCATTATCTGCAGTTCACCTACTTGCAAGACACTGCCAATAGTCAGTCTTGAGTTTCTATGCAGTATGTCAAACCAGAAATCCATGACACAGAATGACCTGACAACAAAATAGGTTAAACTTTTTCTTGTTAAGCAAATGTTTCTTCCTCCTCACTGCTTATATGAGGAAGAGGTAGCTTTTTCTTCTGTAAAGCAATTCCATCTTCCTTACTGTGAGTTAACCACTAGTGAAGTATCTTGAGAAAAATAAAATCTTATCTCAGGAGTTTTAATCTTAAAACAGGAAAATTCTGCTCCGACTAGGAAAACTCATCCGATTTTCCCACTGCAAAAATACAAATAAAAGCAAAACAGACTACAGATGGAAATGTGAAATGACAGAGAACAGCAAAACAAGCTATTACAGTATATGATATTGATTTCTTAAGCTACATTTATTTATATTTCTGCATCACAGAAGAGACTGTTACAATGCATTCTGTAAGTTGTAAAAATGTGTCTTTCCCTGCTTATTGATATAGTACTGTGCCTCACATGAAATGTTTGGGGTGATAATGTTCTTATCTGACTCTGTTGTGGAGATGTATCTGCTCTCAAGAGGTGGGGAAGACAACTGTGTTTACAAAAGCAGGTTTCAAGAACATGCATTACAAAGATGCTCGCATATGGATGCAGCCACACAGTATCACAGTACCAGCAATTCATTGTAACCAAGCTTTTAATGTAATTTATAAAAAAATAGAGTTATTTACATTTGCAACTTATTTGATGGCATCCTCTTTTATTACAACACTTGAATCCATTAATAAATGACACTTTAACTCATTTGAGAGCAAACTTTTCAAAGATAAGCATACAGGAAAAATATTTAAAACATTGCGAATTCTTGTTATTTTGCAGCATCATACAAACTCATTCTTTTCAACACATGCACCCTTGCCATACAGTAAGCAAAATTCCCTTCCAGATTAAGGTACAGAAACTCTGCCACAATTCTAGTGACAGTCCCACATTCTTACATGTGGCACTTCAAGATATAACCAAAGGAATTAGTTTAATTCCAATGGATGGTAGCCTAAATGCAGAATGTGGCCTCTTACACACTTCTAAGAAAATTCTGGTTAAAGGGACCAAAAAAAAGAAGTATGACTATACTTATTGCATAGTTGCAGTAAGCCAAATCCGTGAATACAAAGGCCATCAAAATATATTATAAATCTATCTGAGTTTCAAAGCTACTTTAAAATACTGTTTTGATTTACAATAAAAATAACACTGTTTGGGGTTAGTTTGTGGAGTTGTATTTTGGTCCATGCTGTTAATTCTATATCATTATATTCCTCTTTCATTAGTTTAAAAGCCTCAGAACAGCAGGTCCTCAGGCAATTGTAGGAATGATGAAACCAAGTCTCAGACTTCAGCTGCTGCAGTCAGTTCATAAAAAGTCTAATTCCAACTCCCTCCCTTCTTTACTGCTTTAAATAAACATCCCTCAGAACTCTAAGGGAAAAGAATGACAAGGGACACAGATTTAACACTGTTAGAGATGGGGGTTTGTCCCCATCTTCTAGTCCTGAGCCGATAAACCACAGCTCTTAAGAATATCCATCCCATAAAAAAGATCAACAACAATTAAAAATCTTCAATTTATTCTGACTATGCAGTAGTTCCACATAATCTGCTGGCTGTAGAAACTTCTTTGGTATCAGAGTCAGGTCTTCCTGAAACCACAAATGGCCAAGTCTGTAAGCAAAAAGAAAAAATATTTCATATTAAAAGAAAGTTTATCCTCGTATGAAACTGGAGCTTTATTACTGATAGATGTCTAACTCTGGTTCAGTTGCAAACACGTCATCATGTTTTAGTCCCTGTGGGAAGCACAGAGAGAGCTGAGTTCCTCTAACAAATATTTTCATTACGTTTTTCATTATAATTAAATGCTCCACAGAAGGGCTGCAATGGTCAGCAACAGATTGTTCTCATCCAAAATGCAACGTTTCTCTTGCTTTGCAACTGTTTACATCATTTAATAAATAAAAACCATATCAAATACTCAAAAACAATCACTCTGCTGTATATAAGAAACCTTTTTACCCCGTGACCAAGCATCGGGCGTTTAGTTTTGGCCCGATGAACTCATGACGGCTTGCTGGTGCTCCCGGCCAGCCCGCAGACCGAGTTACTCCTTTTTAGGACACTAAGCTTGCCTAATGCCCGAGGAATGTAGTTCTTTAAGGTCCCCTACTCTGACTCCCCAGGACTGACACACCCGCCACCACCGAAGGTCAAGCCCGGCGCTCGGGTCGCCCGCGGAGCGAGGGTGGCTGGGCATTCACCAAACAGCCCGGGCCGCCCCGTCGCTTCTTCCTGGGAGGGCACGGCTTGAGCGCTGCCAGTCGAAGCCCGAGGGGCTGGCCCTGCGGGGCTATCCCGGACGGCCCCCTGGGGGTTTCCCGAGGGTGCCCCTCGCCGCGCATCCCGCCCTCCGCGCCCCCCGCGCCGCGCCGTACCAGGTTGACTGGATGGACGTAGCCGTTCTCGTAGCGGTCTTCCTGCAGGAGTTGCCGGAGGTGGGCGATGTAGCTGGACGCCAGGCGCAGTGTGTCCAACTTGGAGAGCTTGGTGTCGGGCGGCACCCAGGGAAGGCTCGTCTTCAACCGGGAGAACGCCTTGCTCAGCACCCGCATCCGCGCCCGCTCCCGCGCGTTGGCCGCGTTGCGCTGGGACTGCTTCCCCTCGGGCGGAGGCCCCCGCGGCCCCGACGCCGCCTTCTTGCCCCCGGGGCCGCCGCTCCGCGCCCGCTTCCTCTTGCAGCCGCTGCCCGCAGGCCCCGCCGCACAGCTGCCCTCGCCGTCCTCCTCCTCCTCTTCTTCCTCCTCCTCCTCCTCCTCCGCCGCCGAGGAGTTGTCCCCCGAGGGATAGAGATCACCGCGGGGCTGCCGCTTGGCCGGCGGCTGCGGGTAGTCCAGTTGCAGCGCTCTCAGGTCCATCTCGGGCAGCTCCTCCGCCTCGCTCCCGGAGCCCGTGGACATGGCCCCGGGCGGGCAGGGAGGCGGGCAGCGCGGCAGGCAGGAGGGGGCGGACGGCCGGGGCGAGTCGGCCCAGAGCGGGGCGTCCCCGCCGCGGAGAGTTCGTACCGGGGCGGGGGCGAGGGGGGGGCGCGGAGGGGGGATGCGCCCCTTGACAGCCCTATATATCGTGTGTCCGCGGAGCGAACCATCTGCCGGGCGGAGGGGAGGAGAGGGGCGCGGGGGGGAAGAGAGGGGTGCAGAGGGGGAGGAGAGGGGCTCGGGGCGGAGGAGAGGGGCTCAGGGCGGGGGTCGAACGCGGCGAAGCTCCGCGCCGGGGGCGGCGCCTCTCCGCGCTATTCCGCGGTCCGCGGCGGGGCTGGTGCGGCGGTGGACAGAGACAGACCCGTGTGTGGGGGTGCACACACGCGGGAACATGCGGGGACGTCTCTAGGTGTGTGTGTGTGCCGAGTGAATAAACTCCTTTTCCCTGGGACAGACCCCTCTCCTCGCCCCGGAGGATGTAAAATACTTCCAAGGCTCGTACCGCCGGTGTTTTCGCGGGGAGCGGGACAGTGCTCCCTATCTCTAAGGCTGAGCTCGACCCGGAACTGCTCCCAGTCCACCTACACTCGCTCTCTTTCTTGGTTTTCCTTCGAGGGTGGGGGATATTCCCAACGTATAAACTGGTGCGCAGCCCCGCTCCCCGCAGCCGAGAGGCGCGGCAGGACGGTGTCCCCTGCCCACTGCCTGCCCAGCTCCAGGAAGCGGCTGTGCGATCCCTGTGCCCCCACCTGAGCGGACAGAGGCAGCAGGAGACGCGGCACCCGGGGGTGGGTGTACGATGGGTAGGGAGCAATGCAAAAAGCCGCTGGGAACGTGCGTACTGTGGTTCGATAGTGTCAGTAATTTGGGGTGAAGCTACACACGGTAGCGAGTGAGTATACCGTGTCCAAGGGCTTCTCCGTCCTCAGAGCAATTAATTAAAACCCAGTTTATTAGGCTATGTACACCTCTGTGTCACAGAGCAAATGAAAAGAGAGAGCTTTTCAAGCTACTGGCTAGAAAGAAATTCCATAGTACAACTTTTAGAGAGTCCACAGGCGAGTGGAGGACGCCGTATCCAATGGAAATACTGATATGCAAATTAAACAGGGGTATAAATAAATAAAAAAAAATCAACCATCAATTCATATTCCTCACACTCCCTCAAAACATCCCTTCTTTTCTGGATGAAGAACTAGCGCTTGGTTCCTTGCTGGCCTTCACAGCCTGGATAGAGTTAACCAGAATAAAAATGTAGTTCTCGGAAAAGAACCTAATGACTACAACAGGTGGAAAGATCTTGTCCCGCAATTTTTGCTCACGCTTTTTCCCTTCCATTTCCCTCCCGGCCGAGCGGAACCTTCCCGGCTGCTGCCACGCAACTTTCCTGGCACCGCCGTCTGCCTTTGCACCCAGCGCTTTGGTCCCGTCTCCGGCAGCCTTGCGGGTTCACTGAGGCCACTTAACGCTGTGCAAACCCCAGCTTCACCCGCTGGGGCTAGAACCACATCAGAGCCGGGTTTAACGGCAGCCTTTCCAAGTGAAACTTGACATTTCTTGAACCACCTAAACAGGCAGCTGATCTTGCAACTGGATCTCTTGAACTTGGTTTGACACTACGATGCTCAGGCTGGGTCCCACACGCTGCACGGTGAAAGGGCAGAGCGCTGGACCTTGGGGTTGCTCTGCCTCCCCAATTAGCCTACATTATCCGTATAAATATATATATATATATATATATATATATAAAGATACTGCAGGGGAAGACATATAGGTTTACTTTTTAGCCCCATCTGGGTTGTTTATACAGGTGCGGGCTGAACGCTTTCCCTGCTAAAGATTAATGGGAGAAAGTGCTGAATTTCTTTAAACAAAGAAGAAAATGGTACCCAGTCTTAAAAGCCGCAATGGCTAATCTCACCTTTCCCGCCTATCTCTGCCTCGGCGGATTAAAGTCGACGCATAATGGATACTTCGGTGCATTTAATGAAAGGATTGAGGGCGTGTGGAATAGTCAAATTCTCAGATCGTCTTTGCCTACTTCCTGGATGAGAAGGAAATGGGAAATGCAATGGAATAAATCCGGAATGAACGTCCGGGGTTACTTCGGATTTACTCCCAACAAAACCGAGCAGACCTGACTCCTCTCACATCTATCAAACCGCTAATTTCTGCTATCCTGATGAAGATATCATTTTCAGGATAAAGGCTTTGATGGGGCCAGGGCATTACATCATGCTTCCATTTGTCAAGACTTTGATCCTTTATGGTCTCTGTGCTGAGTGGGGAAAAAGCCACTGGTATATCAGGGCAGCATTTTATGCTTTACCGTTATCAGGTGCAGTCCCTTTCCCCTTTCTCCATTATAAGTTAAATCCACTATTTGTGCTCGAACTCCGAGACCAGTATCCTGCCCTGTTTCACGGTCCACTCTGGGTGTGGTGCCGAGGCAGCCTGGGTTTGCAAAGCCCAGCATGTGCATGTCAAGGGATTGGAGCAGCAGCTAAAACAGTTCCTGCGTGGGAAGAAGGTGCAGAGAGGCTCTTCCCCAGCGAGCTTTGCCTCTGGCACCGTTGTTGGCCCCGAGGACACAAAAAACTGGCCTTCACAGCGTATCTCCGCTGAGGGGAGATCCCTAAATTGGAGAGGTGCACTGAGACGGAGTTGAGTTTCTTTCTCACACTTTTCCACAAGGCATTTTGGTAAATAAATGCAATCAACCCATCCAAGCAACAAGAAGTTCACGAAAACTAGATTTCTCCTTCATTTTTTTATATCAGGTGAGAGGTTTTCGCTCTGCACCTGAGGACTGGCAAGGGCGAAGAGCATCCCTGGACAGGCTGGGCAGCGTCTGTGCCCGGGAGCCTCAGCCCCCGTGGCGAAAGCACGACTCTAACACCCCTGCAGGTGCCTGGGATGAGGCAGAGGGGGTATAATTCTTTAATTTCCTTTCTAAAATTTCAGAATAAATTATAGCAAAAAGCAAAAGAGAAAAAACTGAGCGGAGGCCAAGTCTGTAAAACCCAGATTGTCTCCGAAGATGGGAGGGGGAACTTGCTAAAAGCCCTGTGTCTTTCACCTTCATCCTCTGAAGTGTTGGCAGCGACAAAGCAGGGTGGAAAGAAGATGATGTGTTCTCGATAAAGTGCTTTAAATAAGGTTTTCTTTTGGCATTTGTCCTTTCTTCGAACTCATCAGCGTTACCGAGGGACTTCGCCCCGACCTGAAGTGCTCTTACACATTTTCTGAAAGACCTCAATATAACAAGAGTGTTTTTATTCATTTTCCCGAGGTGGTGAGACAGGCAGGATGTCTGGAGGAGATGAGAACGGTGTCTGGCAAAGGATATCAGTCTTCATCTTTCCACAAGCGACTACAACACACATCCAGGCTGCGTGAAGGGCGTGCAAGGCTTCTGTCACGAAGGGATGGATGCTTGACATCGCTGGTCCAGTAGGAAAAGCAGGTGGATGAATTTACCTTTGCTAAATGCCATCTAGAGCAAAGACGCCTATACATGGCTCAGTTCGCCCGCTAAAGGCACCGAGTGAAGGAAGAAGTGTGCGGCATTCCTCATTCCCCCACCAATTTTGTCTCCGTTTAAAACGCCTGTTTTAACCAGGAATGCTGTTTGCTACAGCCAGTGCCCTGGATGCCCTGTCCTTAGCCAGAGGTCTGATACGGGTCGGGGGACCACTAAAAGATTCCCTTTCGCGTTGTCGTACAGCGCCGTGATGCCCATGTCTCGGTGCCCTGTCAGCCGCCTCTCTGGGGATACTCCGTGCGAGCTAGCCCGGCTCCCCTGGGGCTAGGGCGATCCCGAAATTATCACGGGGGAAGGCAGGAACCGCTAGCCCGAGCAGTTGCTGGAAATGAAATGTGTGTGCCTTGGGGACGGGGGACGCGGGGGGAGGGGGGAACGGGACGGACGAAGGGGCTTCTCTAAAAAGTGGCTTTCCACCATATAAGAAAATTAAAAACTACTCAGTGGGTCAAGCCATGTCAAATAAAGCAAACAGGAGATAAATGAACCCCTGGAAGGAAAAAAAAAAGTATTTACTAGAGTTTATTTTGCCTAGCGAGTGCAAACCTTGCAATCAAGGGACATGCTCAATGATTCATTTGGTGAAGGGACTACAAACCGCGGTTAAAAGCCCCCTATCCGCCCCCCTCCTCCGCTCCCCGGACACCATCCCGCGGGCCGGGGCTGCCCCCGTGGGGCGACCTCCTGGTGCGGGTCGGGCAGCGCTCTCCGGCTGCCGGAGGAGTCTATGCTTGGGCGATCGCCGGCCTGGCGGAGGAAACCCTCGGCTCCAGGAGGAAAATCCTGCCGGAGGGAGTTGCTAGGCTATAGGAGTGGAGCGAGCCGCTGGTGTGCTGCGCCGGCGACTGCGGGGCTGGTTTTACTGCCTGGGCTGTGGGGAGGATTGGTGCTCCTCACTCAGCAACCCTGAGCATAAGCGGGAACATGCTTTTAAAATTAAAACCAAACAGACAAACAAACAAACAAACAACACCCCCCTAAAAAGACCCCAAAATAAACAAAAAACCCTCACCAAAACAACCTCAAACAAACAAAACAAAAAACCCCAACACCCACAGGTTTCTCCTTCGAGCCTCTAATTTCCCCAAAGGGAATTCCACCCCGCAGGACAAGACGACCACACCTTCCCCGAGGAAAGAAACCTCTCCCTGTTATTTACTTATTCTCCCCGACATTTCTAGAGTAATAACGGCAACAAGACGTTATCAAGTGTGATCGTTGCTTTGCCCGGAGCTTGGCCAGCAGTGAGTTGTGCTCAGGTATCCCCAACTTTCAGCAGGGTTTCCCCTGTGGAATAGCCAGGCAAACTCTTTAAATACCTCCTGGCGCCAGAAGAAAGTTCTCATGTAATAGATACCCGCTGGTGTGAGAACACGGATTCTACTCACTTTGTCAGTCAGCCAAGGTGGGGGGAGTTTGAGAAGGGGAGATGGGG